TATCAAGACTATCTCAAGAACCAACTGGACAAAGGTCTTAGGTTACTGACTATACCTGAGTCAAATGTTAAAATATGCCAACGTTAAAACCACACAGAAAGGACAGGAACTTCCATTTACCTTGGAGCCCATAAGCAGACAGTTTCCCATGTGCAGAAAGAGGAAAAGGTGCACTGTCACCTGAGCAGGGCCAAAGACCGCCTCCAACACCTATCCGGAGTACAAGTCCAGAAGGACAGCAGGGTCAGAGCAGTGGGACCAAAGGCACAGGTGAAAGGTGCAACATTACCAATGAGGGTGACAGGCATGCCGTACTCCAGTGCTGAGACGGCGGTCCACTTCCCAGTGCCCTTCTGCCCAGCGCTGTCCCGGATCTTTGGTAACAGCTCTTTGCCATCAGTGTCCCGGAATTTGAGGATATTAGCAGTGATTTCAATCAGGAAGGAGTCCAGCTCTGTCTTGTTCCACTCCTCAAATGCCTACACATTAGAGAAGGTGGGGTGGGTTATGTGGGCACCCTGGCTCATCTGTCGTATCCTTGCCTCCATAGGTGGTGCTCCCACTGCTGAGCCATGGGGCCAGCAGACTCGTACTCCTGCCTACTGAGTGACGCCCACCAGGTCAGGCAGCTGTGTTGAGTGTCAGCCTGGTGGTTTAACTTCTCACCACTGGAACTGCCCTCTCCATGGAGCCAAGTTCCTTACTTCATTAGGGTCTATGCTTGTTGTCACCTTCCTGCCCTATCTAAACCCATCTCTTGGGACTGGATGTAGCTCAGTGGTGGAACACAAACTTAGTGAGCAGGAGGCCCTGAGTTCTACCCCAGTATCACAAAAATAAAGATAGGAAACAAAATAAAACCTGTCTATTAGGGCGGGCTGGAGAGATGGCTCAGTGGTTAAGAGCACTGGCTGTTCTTCCAGAGGACCTGGGTTCAATTCCCAGCACCCACATGGCAGCTCATGACTGTAACTCCAGTTCCAAGGGATCTGGTACACTCACACAGACACAACAAGGCAAAACACCCAATGCACATAAAAATAAATAAATCTTAAAAAAAAAAAAAAAGAAATCTAAAAGTCCAAAGCCAAACCAAACCTGCCTGTTATTCCCAGCTTGCTTTTGTCTACAATAATGATCACTAGTTTTAAACTCTATATTCACTATTCCTGTTTGTCTTCAAGCTCCTGAGGCAAACACTTTAGTTATCTTCACTGTTACATGCTTTCATATAGCAAGTACCTTACACGATTGCTACACATTACCTCTGAGCTACATCCAGTCCTTCACTGTCTTATACTTAGAACAATGTCTTGCATATAGTAAAGCACTCACTTTCATTGTAGGAATACATTATTATGTAAACGAATTAAATACAAACAAAAATAATGAAAACTAAGTTAAATGTTTTAGAATGAACAAGGCCAAGCCAGTGAGACAAGCAGCTGCCAAGATAAGTGAGGGTCAGGGACAGGAGGTGAAGCTCAGTGACAGTCCGTCACACACACACACACACACACACACACACACGACTCTACATGGAGCTTACAGAGCTGGTCACATCACAGACGCAGCGAAGGGCAAGCAGACATTCTTGCTCAGACTGACTCTTCTACTCAGTAATCAGTTCAGGACCCCAACCTAAAATGGCTGCTGCCCTCATGAACTCAACTCAGCTGTTGACCTTAGAGCCAGTAGGTGGAGAGGGAGAGGGGGAGGGGGAGGAGAAGGAGAGGGAGAGGGAGAGGGAGAATATGAGGGAGGAGGGAGACATCATGGAGGTAAAGGGTGTTGGAGTTGAGTAGAATGGGAAGGCTGGACTGGGTACGATAGAGATATACTTTATGTGTATAAAATTGTCAACGAATAAATAAAAGATTCTTAAAATGATTGGTAAAACAGACTTGCCTGTTTGTAATTCAGTGTTTATCTAATGATGTTGCATTGGGGAAATGGTCCTGTTTCCTACAGATTACCTGGGAATGTCTCCACGCAGGATGAAACAGTATGGGGCTGGACAATGGGTGGCCAAGTGCAGGGAAATGCTATGGTAGGATCCAGGTGGTGTGCACACATGTGTAGACAGTGAGGTTTTCCAGTGTTCAAATATTTTCATAATAAAATGTTGAGGAAATGAGGCCGGGCAGTGGTGGCGCACGCCTTTAATCCCAGCACTCGG